GCTCAGTGGTGGCAAATCTATGGCATGAGTGGCACAGCAGGCACGCAGAACCCTCTCTATAGGCACATGAGCTAAGTCGCCCCAGCGGTCGAGCATTGGATAACCATTGTTTTTTCTAAACTGCAACCTCAGTATTCAGGTTTAATTTCAGTGTTGGCACTTTGCCATAAACAAGTGGGTTTTCAGTTGCAGTTTGTGTACTTGGTCTCTAAAAGGTGCACCATCCGCTCTAGCTAATTTTTGAGAGTTATAATGAACAGGAGTGAGGATATTGGACATTTTTAACTTGTTCCTTATTTTAGAGGGAAGGCTTTAAGGTTCTCCCTGTTTAGTATGATGTTGGCTATTGGTTTGTCATACGTGGCTTTTATCAGACTGAAATAAACACATTCTTTTCCTATTTTCGTCAGCACTTTTATCATAAATGGGTATTGGATTTTGTGAAGTGCTTTTTTCTGCGTTTGTTGAGATAATAATGTGATTTTTTTTGTCCTTGTTTCTGTTTGTGTAGTGTATTATATTTTTTTGATTTGCATACTTTGGACCTGCTCTGCATCCCAGGAATAAATCCTACTTAGTTATGTAGGTCAAGACTGTAGGTCAATCCTACGGTCTTTTTGACAATTTCTTGCATTCTGTTTGCCAGTACCTTCTTGAGGGTTTTTGCAGCTATGTTCGTTAAAGAGATTACCCTGTAGTTCTATATTTTGGATGGGTCCGTTTGTGGTTTTGAAATCAGGGTAATGTTAGTTTCATGATGATTTGGGGAGCATCTTCCCTTTCGATTTCATTAAACATTTTTAGGAGTATTGACGTTAGATCTTAAGTTCTTGTAGATTCAGCAGTGAATCTCATTAGTATCTAGACATTTCTTGCTCGGTAGTTTTTTATTACTTCTTCAGTTTCACTAGCTGATACTGGATTATTCAGGATGTTTTGTTTTCTTAGCTCATCATTGAGAGTTCATATGTATGTAGGGATTTTTCTGTTTCTTTAGAATTTTCCATGTTATTAAAGTGCAGTTTCTCAAAGTGGCTACTGATAATCTGGATTTTGGCTCATTGCAGGTGATTTTACCTGTTTTATTTCCAATTGCATGGATTTGGGTCTTGTATTTCTGTATTTTAGTAAGATTGGCTAAGTGTTCGTCTATTTCGTTTAATCATTCAAAGAACCAACTCTTCAATTCACTGATTCTTTGAATTGTTTTTTAGTCTGAATTTCATTAATTTCTGCTCTAATTTTTATAGTTTTCTTCTTCAAACTAGCTTTGGGTTTGGATTGTTCTTGTCTTTCTAGGACCTTGAGGTGTATCATTAGGTTACTTATTTGAACTGACTGTTTTTCTGATGTGAGAAATCACCACTAAAAACTTCCCTTTAAGGACTGCCATCATTGTGTCCCATAGGTTCTGTTATATGATACTAGCATTGTCGTTTGATTGTAGGAGATGTCTAATTTCTTCTTTAATTTCATCAGTAACCCATTGAGTATTCAAGAGGGTATTACTGAATTTCCATGTGTTTGCATAGCTTCTGTGGGGTCTTTTGCCACTGATTTCTAGTTTCTTCGCACTATGATCTGATAATATGCATGGGATAATTTCCATTTTCTTGTATTTACTCAAATATGCTTTATGGGCTAATATGTTGTCTGTTTTGAGAAAGTTCTAGGTGGTATTGAAAAGAATGTATAGTCTCTTTTTGTTGGATGGAACACTGTAGATACCTATCAAGTCCATTTTTTTTTGAAGGTTTGGTTCAAGTCTGGTATTTCTTTGTTGATTTTTTTTTCTAGATGATCTGTCCATTTGTGACAGTGGGCACTGAGGTCCCCCATTACAATTGTAGTGGTATTTATCTGATTTTCAATGCCCATTAGTGTTTGTTTTTGAACTTGAGTGTACCAATATTGGGTGCATATATATTTACAATTTTTTTTGAGACACGGCCTTGATGGAGACTACTATGAAGCAGACCTGAACAGAACTTAAATTAACCATTTGTCTTTTCATGTTTACTTATGGGTCTGTCCAAGTCCTAGGCTCCTTGTCTGGAGATGGGCAGTGGACTCAGAGTAAGTGAACCTCTGTGAGTCACTAATTCCTTCTAAGGCCTGTACTGGCAGATGAAGCCAGAAAGCCTCAAAGGATAAAACAAGATCACAGCCCAGGACACCTGGATCCAACGTCAACTAGATAAATGCGACAAAATGTGATTTAAAGTCAGTTTCTATTTTTTTCTATTTATTTTGTATAGTTTTTACGTGAAAGGGTATTCCCATTCTAGTTCTACTAGCTTTAATTGTTTAAGGTGAGGCAGAAAGATCACAAAATCAAGCCCAGCACTTTGAGCCCAGTCTGGACAACTTAGTGACTTAATAAGACCCCATCTCAAAATAAAAAATGGGCTGGGGATGTGCCTCAGTGCAAAGACCTCAGTTTTAATTCCCAGTACTGCAAAAAAGTGCTGGAGTTTTGCTTTGAAATTTCTGAATCCCATCTACCAAAAGACAACTTCTCAGACTTCAGTCCTAACATGAAACTTACAAGGTACATAGAAACTAATGCCAAGTTATTATAGGCTACCTTTTTTATGGGATATAAGGGAAAATATGGCTTGAAAGTTTTTTGATAGTATAAGAGCTTTATGATTCCACCATCACAGGAAGAGAAGAAGGACATACAATTTCAATCTTTTTTTTCTCTTTTTTCCTTTCTTTGTCCTTTTCTGAGTATCTCCAGAATTCCAATTGTTTCAGCATTCAGTGTAAAAAGACCCAATGTGTAGGCAGGAGACAAAGTGGTACAAAATGCAAGAGGTAAAAAGTTTCCAAGCTGAATGCATACTGGCTTTGTAGACTTTGTGTAAACAGTTGTACAAAGCAAGACACAATGGGAACAACAGAAAAAAGGAAAAACAACAAACAGAACTCTTCTTGACCAAAACACACTTGTATGGGTACATCCTGCATTGAGATCTTCACTCCCCCAGGCGCCTGAGGCTCCTACAATAGCAATCTCTTCCTGTTTGCAAAAGCCCCACATGATAAACAGTTTCTTTGTCAGCACTTGAGTGCACGATTGCAACGGTAGGAGAGAGAAACAGTAGAAAAAAGCAGCCACAGCCAAGTAAAAAATGCATGCCTCCCGACAAGAAGTTCCCTTCAGGCTGGAAACATAAGCACTGGGGAAATTGACCTGTGTGAATCATTTCTGGTAGAGGCATAGCTCCTTGCCTGCAGACCTGACAATCACCCTGCACTACAGCCTCGGGCCTCGGTGTTCCCAATGAATCATTTTTCACATTTTGGTGGTATATTTTTCTTTATTTCTGTTGTGGTAAAACATCTAACATAAATCGTGTCATCCTAAACTGTATGAAGTGCATAATTGAGTGGCATTAATTTCATTTGCACTTTGAACAGGGCACTTTTTTATTAGTATGTGTTTGGAGTATGGAAGAGTGATATTCGCTTTAGGGAACTGGTACATGCATACAACCTATCTTGATTGTTTTCAATCTTTTTATCCCCCTTTCCTTCCCCCTAATCCCCTTTCCCATCTCCAAGAGTCTGGCTTTTCTGGTATGTTTGAGGCCCTGCAGTCTATCCCCAGCACCACAGATAAACAAACAAAAAACTCTAAGAAGTCTGTCATTGCCAGGTGTGGTGGCACACACCTGTAATCCCAGCATTAGGGAGGCTGAAGCAGAGGATCACTGTGAATTTGAGGTCAGCCTGCGTTACATAACCAAGCTCAAGGCCGACCTGCACTACAGTGTGACTCTGCCTCAAAAAAAATTCTCTCATTGCTAGAGATAAGAACTTAATGAATTTTCAAAAATGGGCCTGGATTTCTTCCAGATAATTGCATTTTGTGTTCTTTTCTACTGTAGCAATTTTCAAGTTGAGACAGCGTGAATAAAACCAACGTCTAACTGCTTTATTTAAATGTAAAGATTATTCTGGTTCATTGCTCAGGTACCACCTGCTTTTTCTGAGCAGTGCTGAATCAAGACCTATCCTTTCAAGGTCTACTTAGCTGGAACCAGATCTCAAGGATGCTGAAGAGAAAAAAACACTTAAATGTGTGACAGTCAACTGAGCTGGAGAAGGTGCTTACTTCTTGGGGGTACTGGACAGGAAAGAGACCAAAGCCTTACCCTGACCTTGCTGATGTGTCCTTATTTCCTTTGAAGGAGGAGGAGTGCTATGCAAACATGGATTCTACTCCTGTATTTTGCTCCAAAAGGCAAAGCACTGAGCAGAATTTGGAAGGCTGCAAGTAAACACCCCCCCCCGACACACACACCTCTTCATAAAACCCTTGGGGTAGCTGGGCATGGTGGCACATTCCTATAATCCTGGACTGGACGCTGAGGCAGGAAGATTGAAAGTTCAAGCCTAGCCTAGGCAATTTAGCAAGACCCTGTCTCAAAAAAAATTGTGAATGGCTAGGGATGTAGCTCATTGCAAAGGCTCTATGAGTTCAGTCCTTAACATCAGAAAATAAAAAAAGCCCTAGAAGCAGCTTCCCAGGCAGCTTTGTCAACATGAGTGATCTCAACTCTGCCTCAAAACACTGTCCCTTAGGAACACAAGCCACCCCATCTTGCATACATACATAGTCCCAGCGAGGCATGAACGGCGAGAATGGTAGAAGCGAGGGGTGGAGGAGGATGTGTAAGTCACTATAAACCTGTCATGGGTACCAGGGAAGCGTGTGTGATGTGTGTAGCCCCTGATGGTGATCCAGGGATCTCATGGCATGAATGGAGGCCTCCTAGCTATGTGACTTGAGCATTTTCATAGCAATTTCTGTCCACGGTTTACTATTATTATTATTATTTTTTTTTTTTTTTGGTTTTTCTCCGGTACCGGGAACCGAACTCACGACCTTGCGCTTGCCAGGCAGGCGCTTTTGCCGCTGAGCTAAATCCCCAGCCCCTGTCCACGGTTTACTAATCCCTATGCAATACACAAAACAAAAACTGTGCAGGAATTTCATGTCTTTATTGAAATTCAAAACATGCCCTAAACGTGGGCAGAGGATCACTGTGAATTTGAGGTCAGCCTGGGTTACATAACCAAGCTCAAGGCCAGCCTGCACTATAGTGTGACTCTGCCTCAAAAAAAATTCTCTCATTGCTGGAGATAAGAACTTAATGAATTTTCAAACATGGGCCTGGATTCCTTCCAGGAACTTTAACAACTTTAAACTTAACACATCTCAAAATGTTTAGTAAACTTTTTTTAATAGTGTGCTATTCAAACTTTGTATCTGGCCCCAAAACTCTTTGGAAAAACAGGTCACAGAGACCATTACTTAGTACCAGTAAGTAAAGACTATAAAAGGACAGCTGGGAGCAGGGAACCAGACCAAGTTAACTATGGTCAGACCAAATGGAGGCACGGGGAGGAGGAGCTGGGGGACAGGCATGAACACCTGAGGAAAGAACAGCATGGGTGGCCCGTGTGGCATGGGTGGCCCGTGTGGCATGGGTGGCCCGTGTGGCATGGGTGGCACATGTGGCATGGGTGCCATAGGCGGCATGGGTGCCATAGGCGGCATGGGTGCCATGGGCACCAAGGGCAGCAAAGGTAGCAAGGGCACCCCGAGTGGCCAGACCACCATTGGCTGCACATAAAGCCATATCACACTGGGCCTTATCACGTACACGGGACAATACGGGGGCCCTGAGATGGCGTGAACAGGATGGCCGAGGTGCATGTGGCTTGCATTTCTGATCCTTTGCGCCCTCCGATATCTTCTCCAGCGGGCTCTCCTCTTCTTAAACCAATCCTTCAATCAGAGAGGACAAAAGGGGATTAGTTTAGTACACCAAGTATTTAATGTCATAAAAGAAACAACATGACAGGCAATTCCATACGTCCTATCATTTTCAACTGCATCTGAAGTTCCTTTCTTATTGCTAAAATATCATAGGAAATTTAACACCGCACCCCTCCCCTAATGAGCTACAGCTACGTGCCAATCTCTGGTTTAGCTTATCTTTTCCCTCTCCTCTTCTTCTTTTGATCCTATATTTTCCACTCCAAGGTACAAGTATACCTGATGAATTGGACTCGGTCCCTGCTGCTATTGCTATGCTTGCCATAACCACTCTCCCATGATTGATCAACAGCTCTCCAGCTGTCACATACCCCTATCATTATGCAAATGTTAGCCTGGCTGTGGGGACCCTGGGCTTGGTGAAAAGTGGGTGTCTTTTAAAGTCATACCAAGGGGAGTGACCCTACTTTGAAAAGGTCATCTTCAGTGTGAATAAGTAATAAGATTCTCAAACAAAAAATCTCCTTCAGAGAAATTTTGTATGTATGTATATACAGGATAGATAACATGGTTGTTCTTCTATCTGCTGTTTCTATGCTGAAAGAAACTGTCAATGAGTCTTTGGTTGACCAGTACTGCATGTCTATATCTGTTTTCATGAGAAGCCACTTTGAAGATATCAATATGTAATACAACCACCATTGTTAATTCCCTACCACTTTGTTTGTAACTCTGTATTGTCTGTATTGTGCTTGTGATATGTTGTAAAATGTTGTATGTCTGTTAATGTTTCCCTCCTTTTATCCTTAAAATAAAAAAAAAGAAAAATCAATAAGCAATAATACAAAAGAGAGGAAATAAATATATGTAACATTTTGTCATTAGTCTAAGCACAGATTCCATCTCACCCTGGAAAGAATGGCTATTATCAAGAAATCAACCAATAATAAATGCTAGAGGGACTGTGGGGAGAAAAGAGCCCTTCTGCACTGTCGGTGGAACTGTAAAGTGGTATGACCACAGTGGAAATTAGTGTAGAGATTCCTCAAAAATTTAAAACTAGAGGTTCCACTTGACCCAGCTATTCCTCTTCTTAGTATCTTCCCAAAATAGTTAAAAGCACCATACCACAGTGATATATGAACACCCATGTTACAACAGCACAACTTGTAATAGCTAAATCTTGGGAACAGTCTAGAAATCCATCAACAGACGAATGAATAAATAAAATGTGGTATTTACATACAATGGAGTACTACTACACCATAAAGAAGGGTAATCTTGAGACATTTTTAGGTAAATGAATGCACCTGGAGACCATACTTTTAAATGAAATAAATTGGACACATCTTTAAATATCATAATATTTCTCTTGTGTGAGAAGCTGAAAGTGTAAAGAGGGACCAAATTTGGATAGATATTGGGAAATAGGAAGAAAATATTCAAATGGGAAGGGGAACAAGGGAGAGGGGGAAGGAGAAGGAAAGGAAGGAAAAAAGAAAAAGGGAATAGAAGCAAAAATGAAAACAAAACTTTTGTAAATAAGGAGGGGGAAAAGTGTTGAAGGGGAAGGTAATGGGGAAAAAGAAAAATCAAGATACATTATGTACAGGTACAAATTCCCTATGATGAATATCATCATTATGTAAGTGTACCAATAAAATTAATTTTTAAAAAACCCTTTTGGAGCCGAGTGACATATGCCTGTAATTCCAGAATTTGGGAGGCTGAGGTTGGAGTGCCGAGAGTTTAAGGCCTACCTGGCAACTTAGTGCGATCCTGTCTCAAAATTTAAAAAGGCTGGGGTTTTAGCTCAACAGCTCCCTCTGTTCAATCCTCAGTATCAAAAAATATAATGGCTTTTTTTGTGGGGGTGAATATTCATGTAAAATATTTAACAACCTATGAGAACATTATCTTTTCCATTATTGAGAGCATGGGATTCTGCCTTCAAAATTCCTTTGAGAGAAAACTAGGTAAACCTAGGAGGGAGACAGCAACTCATCAGTCCGCCACCTTTTGTCTCCAACTTGCTTTACCAGCCTGGGTAAAAAAAAAAAAAAAAAGTGCTTTCCTCCAACCTGAGCCATGCCTGATTGTGAGCCTGGCCTTGTGGCATTAGGATGCCAGCCTCGGGGGCCTGCTTTGTTGGGCTGCTTTTCTAGAAGCCATCAGCACCTGGCCTGAAATGCCTGTCACTGCAATCACACATGCAAACTCAGGAGCAAAGCTAATAACATCATCCTGCTTTTTTCTTTTTTTATTCTTTTCCTTTTCTCAAACTCCTTTAATACAATTTGTGGCTTTCTTTGCAGTGGGCAGGATCTCACTAGGTAGCCCAGGCTGACCTCAAACTCACGGCAATCCTCCTGCATCAGCCTTCAGAGTGCTGGGATTACAGGCGTGTGCTACCAGACTTGGCCTTTTTTTCAATTTATGGCTTTATATGGCCTCTAATAATCACCTGTGGATCCAATGACCTACAAATTAGTTATCACTCCCTAAACAAATGAAAAATATTTCAAATTACCACAGGTAAGAATCTAGCCTGAACTGAGAACCACACCTTACTTAGCAACATATTCCATAAAACACATTTCCTCATAACAATACAACTAAAAGGAAGAAAAATTCTCTTATGTATTAGAAATTGCTCAAGAACATATTCACTAAGTTTCAAAAAGTCAACTGTAAGCCACATATGGTTATGCATGTCATGATCCCAGAACTCTGGAAGGCTGGGGCAGGAAGATTACAAGTTTGAGCTCAGCCTGTGTATCTCTGTCTCAAAATAAAAAATAAAAATGGACTTGGGGTGTAGCTCAGTTTGAAGGCCCTGAGTTCAATCTCCAGTACTACAAAAAAAAAAAAAACAAAAAAAAAAACAAGGTTCAATGTGTGTAGTTTCTCCAAGGCATATTCTATATATAATTCTTGCTGACATTTCCACTTTTCTTAGGTCAGCAGAAATTTCTAAAGAATTGTTCTTTTACTTTGTGGGTTTTTTTTTTTTTTTGGTACCAGGAATCGAACTCAGGACCTTGCACTTGCAAGACAGGGACTGTGCCACTGAGCTATATCCCTGGCCCTAGAAGTTTCTTTTTTTGTTGGTATAGTTTGTTTTTGTTTCAGAGAAATTTCCAAGGGTTCACATATTCCTCCCATCTTCGCCATAATGTACAACCTACTATACTAGCAATATTTTCAAGCTGACACATCAAAGTGTCACAGAAAATTAAAATTTAGAGCTGCCAATCTTTGTACAGCTTTACCAAGGATTTAAAAAAAAAGAACAATAGGAGGAGCAGGTATTTGGACCTTCTGCGCCCCATTCCTATTAGTTGCAGTTTAACTGACATACCTTAATTACACATGTGTTCTGGCTGTGAATTTTTCCCTCATTTCAAATGCTTCAATATTTATAAATTTCATTCTTAAGAAATGAGTTTATGCTTGATTTTATATATTTTAAATAATTTAGTGTCATGGGACTTCTTAGTGTACTATTTGAATAATTCCCACGTCAGACTTAGCCCCAGTATGATTCCTCATGGAAATGCCACCTAAAGGATACCAGTGTTAAGAACTGAACTTCATTATATATAGTTATAGCTATAATTCATAAATCTATGTCTTTGTATATAATATATATATACATTCCTAATTTAGAATCAGTATTCATAATTTATACTAAAATATAAATTATACATAGATATGTAAGAAATAAAAAATAACTCAGCAACACTGTTTTTTCCTTTAGAAAGTCCTGTTCCCTTGGAAAATGGGAAATTTCCACATGCCAGGGCTTTCTCGTTTTCCACTCACAAAGACCCCAAAATTTAAAGTTCATTCCCTAAACATGGAGAAGGCACCAAATACAACAACTCAACGATATCCCAGACAAAGGAGTCCAAGCCCTGAAGCCGGTTCTCAAATGGCTGCCCTGCCAAATTGCTTTTTTCAGATTTATTCACCTGGATTCTGGCTTCAGCCACACGCATGCGTCTTGCAAGTTCTTTTCTGAGGAGAAAAATTTACAAATGTTCAGTATTTGGCATTTTGGATGACATAACAATACGCAAAGTTCATTTCGTGTATTTTTAAAAATTGTTCATCCCATCAAACCTCCCCACAACACGCATGCACACACTATTCTGTATGTACGTGGAGGCTTGCTTTAGGAGCAGTTTTCTCACAGGTATGAACACTGAGGGGCTGCCAAAATATCAATAAGTACAAGAAATCGTGTTCGTGTATTTCAAATATAAATATTATTGAAAAGCTGGGCTACAGATATAGCTCAGTAGCATAGCACTAGCCTGCCTGGCAAGCGAAGGTCCTGAGAAATTAAAGCAAAACAACAATCCGTAATGAGCAGATTTAACAAAAATTTAAATACAGACGGCATTCCACACTGCACTTGTTTAAATAACCATGTCTAGGGGTTTCTTAGCCTAGTTCTAACAGAAACTTGTTTATTAAAAAAAACGCCGGCCGAGCGCAGAGAGGCATGTCTGTAATCCCACGTTCGGCAGAAGCCGAGGCAAGAGAATCTCAAATTCCGGGCCAGCCTGGGAAACTCTGTAAGGCCTTGTCTAAAAATAACGTAAATAAGGCCTTGGGGTTTAGCTCCATGGCAAAGCACTTGCGGAGTGCGGCCCTGGCCCCAGGTTCAATCCGGAGCACGGAAACAAAACACATACATAAAAAGCAAACAAAACCCTCCCCCCAAAAAGCAGGCACTGTCCAACGTTTGCCAACATGATTTATGTAAACGCTTCACGAAAAGGTTTATTTTCATTCCCAGTTGGCATAGCCCCCACCACTGCCCTCGAGAAGTCTTGGGTCGGCTTTTATTTCAAGAGAGGAAAAGTGGGAGCCGAGGGACAGCAAACGGCCTAGACGACGAACACTCCCTGCAAACCCAGCCCGAGTGGGCCAATCTGCTTACCGCGCTGGTTTGCTGGGGTTCTTGTTGCGATGGAAATAGTTCTCCAGCTCCTGCAGCTGCGACTGGGTGAAACTCCTAAGGTAGGGGCGCCATTGCCGGTGCCGGCCATTTTCGTGGTCCCCGTCCTGGGGGTTCTGCTCCTCTTGCTGATCCTCGTCACTGCTGCTGGAGCTACTGCTTTCTTTGCCCTTGTCGTCTGTGGGGTCGGGAGCGCCAGCGCCAGCTTGGCCTTCCCTTTCTCCTCCTAATTCCTCTTGTTTTTCTTCTTTCTCGTCTGCTGCTGCTGCTGCTGCTGCTCCCTGCTCAGCCTCACTCTGTACGTCCTCTTCGCCATCTTTTTTCTCTTCAGCAGACGAAACTGCAGTTGGCTTTATATCTGTAAAGAGGAAAACACAAAGAAAAAGATAAGCGCTTCCGAAAGCAGGGTCGAAAGCTGGGTTCGAGCGAGCGAGCTAGCGAAGGCTCGGGCGCAGTGGCAGGGTGGGGGAGGGCAGCGTCCATCTACTCGTCTCTCCCCTGGAGTGTTTGCTTCTTCGAGTTTGTTAAAGCATTCGTCTGATACAGGTACTGACCATGCTGGTCCTCCTGGTCCTCCGGTTCGACTCCCAGGCCTAGCAAATTGTAGCTGTAATCCTTCGGAGGACGCTCCATGTCCCGCGCACGTCGGTTAGTGAAGCTGTGCCGCTTCGGAAGATTCGGAAGGAATCGGAGGCCCCGTGCGCTCACCCGAGCAGAGCTAAAGATGTGATTGGCAGGAAGGGTTTTCTTCCTGGCCCGGAGACTCACTAACATTGTATCCACTCATAGCCGCCCTGTTTGGCGCGCAGGTGGGCATGTCCTAGTGCACAACTTGGGCCTGCAAGAAACAGTTTAGCTGGCTATTCCCACCTTGTCTTTTTCTCGCCTTAAAGTATCTTCCTAGGGAAGGGGATGTGCTGAACTGTGCAAACATTTGCAGGGAGCAACAGATAGACCACACACTAGCTCTGAGGCCTTGCAGAACTAGTCGCAGAATAACTCTTAACCTAGCCTTGTGCAACCAGTAGCCGGTATTTGGAGGGGAATAGGAGTTAAACTAGTATGATTGGTTAAGAGGCTGCTTGCTCTCAACTTTTGCTTAGGCTGAAGTCAGAGCCCTCCTTGCTTTCTGGGACTTTGAGAACATGAGCTTGGAGCACGTTTGGCAGAGCTGGCTGTTCTGTGGGGCACATTTTGCAAACCATATGCAACTCTCCCTTGAGCAAGTGTAGGTCAGAATGCAAGAGTAGAAACAATCACAATGTTTACAAAAACCCAGACTGTCTGAACCCTGGGGGGACTTCCATTTGCCCCCTAGCTAACCATTTGTTCTCTGCAACTTCTGTTGTATCTCTTGCTACACATCCTCTACAAAAACACATTTGTTCCCTGTCCTGAGCTGATGTTATGAATCTGGGAGGGGGGACAATTCTCCCCTTTTTGATGTTGCTTCTTCCTTTTCCCTCTACAATTTCTCTAAAAATATTTTCCTGAGCTCTTGCACAGGAATAAATTTTATTTATTGTCATATAATGAGGGCCAAGAGAGATCAATTGCTGTAAATTTCTTTCTTTAACAAATGTTCGTAGATGCTGCAAGACTTGTTATTGTGCTGGATATTGAGAGTACCTTTTAACAATGGACCTCATCCTTGGCAATGTATGTGGTTATCCTGTTGCCTGCATGACCACCCTTTTCTTTCTTTTTTTTTTTTTTTCCGGTACTGGGAACCGAACTCACGACCTTGCGCTCGCCAGGCAGGCACTTTGCCGCCGAGCTAAATCCCCAGCCCCCACCCTTTTCATTATCCTTATTTTATATTGGAAAGTAAGCCATTTTGTGGACCCCTAATTTATAATAGCTTCTAATCAACTCATCTACTATGCCTAAAGGATAAGTACCCTTGAGGTAGAAAAACAAAGCCTAACCTTTCTCCTCTCCCTTTGACTGCCAGCTGTCACATCCCTCCCTCCTCCCCTGGTAATTTGCCTTTTCTTCCAATAAATATAAAATCTTGATGAAACAAAGTTCCATTTAGTGTGATTCTAGGAAACTGAGACATTGATGTATAATATAAGCACCCCCCAACTATGAGGGGGAACAAGCCACACTGGTGCAAGTAAGTACACAGATATATAAAAGTGCACACTGCCCTTTGGCCCCTGTGGGTTTATGCGCTGGACGTTTGGTCCTCAGTGCATGACTGTTGAGGTACTGTGGACCTTTACCAGGTGGTTCCTAGAGGCAAGACCTTAGCTCAGTGGATTCACTGAGAAAGAGCAGCTTATTGCTTGGCCTTTTGATGGAGCTTGTGATAGAGAATGATTTGCATATGACTTTGAGTTCTGTTTTCTTTTCTCTATATCTTTTAATAAAAAAGGACCTTATTTATGACACTAAAGTACAGATTTTGTTCTCCATTTCCCCAGCCATTGAAATAGCACACAGCATAGTAATTTAACATACAATATAAAGTGACATACACAGTCATTCCCAAAATGACTGTTTTAAACTTCACTTTGGCAGTTCTTAAAAACTTATACTCTTAAGTGAGTATAAATTATTAAAGTTATCAACAAACAAGTTACTTCACAACAATCTTAGTGTAAAAGAGACCTCAAATCCTTGGACCTCGGAACTTTTGTAAGGGAAAATACTTTATCTGTCTCTCTAGCCCTGAGCTATAGCAGAATCGAAAACCTTTTTACCTAAGGTAGCATGCTAGGATTCCTACTTTGAGAAGATTATTTAAAATTTAATATTATAACTTTCACCATCGGACTTCCACTGGAACTGCATTTCAAGTGGAAAGAAAGGAATGTGAGAAAATCAATTTTGCTACAGACTAAAATTTTTCTACAAAATGCATCAATAATAATAGCTCACCATGAATTCAGCAAAACTTCATAAACGTACACCAGGTAAACTTTACAAATATCCACTTCCATTTGGTGAAAAGAAGAGCTAAAGACACAGTGACTGGGACATTAACCTTTTGGATTGGAAGTTACAAACAAAGAGCATCGTAATTCATCTTCTCAGCTGGTATTACATTAGATATAACAATACTCTGTTGAAAGGGTTCCCAATTATTAGTTGTCTGCCAAGGACAAATTAAAACATGCTCAAATTTTCCCTTCTTGATCACACACTTCTTAGCAGTTTACACTACATATATGCTTGATACATTAGTCTGGCTGTACAAAACACAGCAGAAACAAAACAGCTGCACAGTATCTGTGCATCCAGACTTAAGTAAAAAGAAAAATCTTTCTAAGAAAACTTTTAAAAATAATTACAAAGACGTGGGAGCTCTGTAATCTCAGCACAAGGGAGATTGAGGCAGGAATACTACACTGAGTCCCAGCCCACCTTGGGATACTCAGTGAGGTCAAGGTCAGCCTGAATTATAGCAAGACCCTATCTCAAAAGTAATAAATCAGTAAGCAAAAAAGCCACTAAAAATTCAGCTGCTATTTTTATTGTTCTGCTTGTATCTTAACTATGTCTTAAGGGATGTGACAGTTTCTAAGGTCATAGAACCAGGATCCCAGTGTTACCTGTAGACTATTTGAGGAACATTTGATACTTGACAATGTTTTTGTTTTCTGTCTTTGCTGTGAAAACAGGCTTCAGCTGGTCGAGTTCATCACAGCTTTCTCATCTCTGAGGAGGTCTTGAGGCGGGGGTGCAGCATCTCAGGCTGCAGAAACACAAGCAGGACACTTCCAACACTGAGCCTGCTCCCAGAAAAGCCTTAGGCTCTCACCTTTCACAACTCCCCCTTCCCACAGTTCCTAGAAGCCTGGCAGTGCTCAGCCCCGGGGTCCCCCGTGGAGCAACGCCCTCTGTGGCTATCTGAGAACTGCTGCCCGGGCTGAATTTCTTGCCGAGGTTTCCTCCAAATACAGAAGCACCCCATTCCAGTGGCAAGCAGGAGGCCCAGCCTGTGCACCTGGCTCGCTCGGGCTCTGTGCCTTCCATCCCTGCCAGGACAGGCCCGGCCCATTCAGCCAGGAAGGTGTACCTGCAGGCC